AAGAGGACAACTTGGGCGGGAAATGGTGTAGTCCCTAAGTGATGCCCGTTCTTGTCGATGTTTTTAAGATCATTTAGTTGGTTGTGTTTCCAACACCGTTCCATCTACTGTTTGTTGCAACGCATTCTACCCGAATTGGCTTACATGGTTTTGAAGTTTAAAACAGTTCAGTCACTCTAATCCGATTTCTCGCTTTGCTTCCGTTAGTGCTTCATATTCCATCTACACACCGGACTTCGGGCTGGTGGGGGCATTGGAGACGAGATTGAGCCTCCGGACGGTGATGAGTGGGAAATGTTTCGTATACTTTTCGACATGACTTTCTTCTTCTTTGTCATCGTTATACTGCTGGCCATCATTCAAGGTTAGTTTCTTCATGCACATGGGTCACCGTCTATGTCCTCTATGACACAGCCGCCGTTAGCTCAGTTTCTCAATAACCTCCTTTTTCACTCATGTACTCAAAACCAGGTCTCATTATTGACGCGTTCGGAGATCTTAGAGATCAGCTGGAACAAGTCAAAGAAGATTTGGAGTCAAAGTGTTTCATCTGCGGAATCGGGAAGGAGTACTTCGACAAAATGCCCCATGGTTTTGAGCAGCACGTGGAGAAAGAGCACAACTTCGCCAATTACATGTAAAGTTACTGGTATTTTTGCATACCCTCTGTGCTAGTAGGCTGTCGCATAAAAATTAGGAGAATTCAACGTAGGGAGTAAACCACGTTTAAAGATCTCCACGACGGAGGATGAGGAGATCTCAGTTAAACTGTGGCACAAAAAGTTCATGTCACCGCACAACCAGCGTTTTTGTTCCGTCTGGATCAGCTACATTCAGGCTGCGTATGTTTGGGATGACAATTATGCTGATGCAGTAACCTCTAGACCCAAATATTGATAGATGGGCCACGTGTTGCGCATGCCAGCACACCGACTCTCGCGTCGTGTGTTGCTTGCACGACGCGTCCGGATTGAAGAAGAGAGGGGGAGGCCAAGCGATGACTTGATCAAGAGGAATGAAGTCCCTCACTTCGGACTTAGCGTCGGTTGGTGTTTACCAACTGCCAGGTTGTAGTTCCAAGGGCGATGAACACTTTTGGTTGAAGTACACTAACTGGCATGGCGAAGAGTCGACCTCAGTGTCGTATGTGTTGTGAATTTCTCCGCCCCTCCTCTTCCCGCTTAGCTTCCCCCTCCAACAATGATCTCACACTTTGCATTATATTACTTGCTTTTTTAGTTTTTGCATTCTGTAACCTTTAGTATCGCGCTTTTTCCTATGTCTTAGCTTTTGTATTGCGGCGCAATTAGGTCGTGTTTCTTGCCTCCAGCTAAGGTGTATTGATAATGATGAGACCAAACTATTGCACCAGGTGCTCATTTGTACTTATGTTCCCATCCATTTTACACGTAAGTTGGCGTTCGTTCCCCGGTCCTCTGAGCGGCAAACATCAACTGGAGGTCGATGGCTACGTGGGCAAAAGTAATACTGGTCTAAATGCGCGCTTGTAACTCGTTTCACTCGATAAGGAACGAGTGGTTGCTCAAGGTAGGCCTCCCAATAATCTGGGACTTTCATCTAACCAGCTATTGGAACGGTAATTCGTTATTGACAGAAAATAAGCCAATGCTTAACGAGTCCCGTACAGGGAATCCGGTGAGGATCTCAAAGCCAAGCATGACGTTTCCGGTAAACTGAAGTGCGTCTCTGCGAACACCGATTTCCTGAGGAAGGTTGTGATGCACATCATTTGTTTGTATTGTGCCGTTTACCGAACTACGTGGACCATATTACTTGATCTAGACGAATAAATGTATCACTAAGTCGCTTTATAGTTGCCTATAATCCAGGGACCAAAAGATACGGAATTGGGAAGAGTATTTTTGATAAAATCGAGTAAGATTGAATGTCTAGATCCATCTTATCGCTTCCATGACGGAAAGAGTAAAGTTGCTGCTTGTATGGTCCACCACAGTATCTTAATCGCAAACAGCAGTTTGTTTGATGCTTTTTCGCTTGTCTTCCCAGGTACTTTTTGATGCACATAATCAACAAACCGGACACGGAGTACACCGGACAGGTGGGTACTAGTCTATAGATTTAACATTACATCAATTCGTCGCTTTGTATCACGTTCGTTCTCTATGGGTTGCGAACGTTCAACAGATGATACACGCCGTGATTCATTCTGCCTAAGTTTATCAACTATGACAAGACAATGAAACCAAAATGATGGGAAAGTCGAGCCGACTATCCATTGAGGAGTAGGATAACAGTAAAACTGATCAGATGCAAAGACGTCACATATTTCCCAATTGTCCCGTGCCACTCTAACTCGTTGGGTCAGTTTCCTTATCCTCATTTACCAAACCAACTCAAAGCTCTTTGCAAACTGTATCATCCTCAGATGACGACATTTCCTATTCATGTAGCTGAAGCCAGAATACATCACCCCTGTTTTTGCCCCTATCATCTTATTGTACTAACAATTTTGTCCCCATTCATGCTCCCCCGCCTTTATATATATATATATATATATATATATATATATATATATATCCGGTTTCGGATTTGCCTGTCACTGTGGCAAGCCACAGGACGCCTGCGCCTACAGAGGGACCATGGGTGGCTTGCGCTGCACCACCCACAGCTCCAACCACACACCCCATATCCAGTGTAAACCCCAAGGAATAAGACCGGGAGGCATGCGGCTGGGAGCCACGTTTCATCAACGGAGCCGGCCCACACTCCTTCACAGGCAAACACAAGCACACTGTATTTGGGAATCAAGCGCACACAAGGCGGTGGCTGGACCGTAGTCCGCTCCACACTGAGTGCATGGAACCACTCTTCGATCCTAACACGGCCACAAGGACCGTGCACCCCGTCCCCTCCAGCAACGACCAACTGTCTCCTGTAGCCCGTATGGACGAGGTAGTGGGTAATAGACAGGTAGGCACCTTGTCAACATGCACATCAAGCGCAGCCACACCGGGGATATCAAACAACAGTCAAACACTTGAGAGAGAGAGGGAAAGAAAATAACTCGATTGATGCATACGGAAACAGTGACATAAACCTTAAGTTAATGAGCATATGAAATAAGTTGTTTACAAACGAATCCTAGAAAAGTTCACGAGGTCAGAAAGTATACTATACGGAAATGCCACGAACACAAAAATGTTATGGAGATCGAATACAATTGGCTTAAGCGAGGTGTGCAAGTTAATCGAATAGAGTACAGGTAGACATTTATATGGGAAAGAAAAGCATTAAGGCAAAATTGAAAACCCACCACCTGAAATAAAGAGACTTAGCATACAAGCACGCGGTTAGTGAAAAGAATGCAGCGTATTTACAGACGCTGCGCCGGTTCTGCTTATGTTCTCTGCAGGACCCGTCGTCGCTTCTCTAGTGGTCCCGAGTGGTTTCGCTCATGGCTCACTAGACACTAGATATTTATAGGAGAAAGAAAGGCATTAGGACAAAACTGAAAACCTACCACCTGAAATAAATGGAGTTAGCATGCAAGCACGCGGTTAGTAAATCGAATGCAGCGTACTTACAGACGCTGCGCCGGTTCTGCTTATGTTCTCTGCAGAACCCGTCGTCGCTTCGGTAGTAGTCCCGAGTGGCCTCGCTCATGGCTCACTAAGCCTGCCTGGCTAAGACACTCGCGACCGCATGTTCTACAGCACCATGCGCTTGATGTCGATGGAGTACAATCCATCGGTGCTTGACGCTTCCTCACTTCCTCGCTTCCTCACATCTTCTCTGCATGCATGAGGGCTTTCTCCCGCACTTCAGCAACTGCCTGCGTGATTAGATCGCGCCATGCACGCCGATCAACCGCCTTCGATTCCCATGATCTGCAATCAAGGTTAGAACGTGTGAGGCTCAATTTGATCATGTCCTGGTAACGTAACTTTGGTTTCCCCACATGCCGCTTCCCAATACTCAGCTGACCGTATAAGAGTTGTTTCGGTATCTGCGTCGAATCCATACGGCTCACATGACCTAGCCATCTCAGGTGTCTCAATAAAAGTATGCAGTCTACTGCATACATCCCACTTCAACGCAAAACTTCCGTGTCTGTAACTCTGTCGCCTCAGCCGATTTGCAAAATTCGTCGCAGACACTGCTGATGGAACCGCTCGAGATATCGCACATCCCGACGGTACATCGTCCACGTTTCACTGCCGTATAGAAGAACAGACAGTACCATGGATTTGTACACCATCAGCTTCGTGCCAATGGTAAGCTGATGGTTGTTCCACACTCGGTACTCTAGCTTCCCGAATGCTGCCGCTGCCTTCGACACGCGAATACGCACTACACGTGTAACTGATGATCAGTTGACATCACACTCCCAAGGTAGCTGAAACGGGAGGTGGTTTCCAATACTTCAGCACCAATGCTGATTCGCGGCAATATTGAAGATTGCACGAGAATCACACGGGTACAAACAGGCCACGGTTTCTGATGCAATGATCAATACAAAGCAACCGGTTGTAAGAGTGTTCAGTTGTCCAAATTCCGCCGAGGGCAGAGTGTCCTTCAAAAATTGACCGCTCCGTGCACTGAGTTCAATTCCGTGGCGCACCGCGTCACGTTATGCCGCTGGTTCCAACAGGCGCACAAGCACAAATCCGGCCAAACAAAGAGATTTGCGTGCGTTCGATAGAGCGAGATTCACAATGCGGCGTGAGAGCTCTTGGCCAGCCAAGACAGTGTACAAAGATATAATTGCTTCTAGTTGCCTTATGCGGCTACCAACAGGGTTGGTTTAGGTCTCCTGAAGTAGACCTAGCAATAAGCTTTCCGATAACTCCAAAAACCCTGTTGAAGGCAGAAAATTGGTGCACTCGTAGGCGATCGACTGTGCTAAACCACAGCCAAAATTAAACTGGCTTTTGACGTTGATCCGTTTTTAGTACCCACAAGAATGGTTGCGCAATGGGTAGACCTGACCGAGCCCGATTGAATGAGTGTACCCAGGCCAATGTGCGAAGAAATTTGAATCCGAGAACTTGAAAAGTCAGGAGCAACGAATAGATTCCGACCAGCAGCCACTTGCTCAGTTAAATTATCAAAAGGAGCTTATCGTATATGAATGTTTATACACATAAAGGCGTCCTAGTAAACAAGAGAACATACAATTTTCGAATTCAACAATTAAATCTTTTTTAACCTCTGACTTTCCACTTGCTTCACTTCGTGTACATATGCTTCCACTTTGGTGAGTCCTGCTCTAAGCCGTACCTCGCCCTTGCTGATTTGCTCGCTATTCCTTTCAGTGTGTACAACATACGCTTGATGCGGCTGTCTATATCTTTTGCCTAGTCCCATATTTGGTATGTCTCTTTGATGTAATCATTACTGGTTGGTATCCGAAGAGCCACCCAACAGTTGGTGACCTCAGCTCGAAGCGCCCCGCCCGCCATTTTGAATTTTCATCTTGGTGAACTCGTACAAGTTACTCTGCGACTCACTACTCGTATTCAGATTGGTTTCTTAGTTACGGTGCATATTCGTTCATGTTTTACAACGCATTAACTAGAGAATACGGCATCACTGTATATTGTTAAATACATAGCGCTATAGTTTTGAGAACAACTATCATTTTTATGGCCTATGTACATAAAAGCCACCTTTTGCAAAGTTAGAATTTCTGATTATGCAAAATGTCATCTAATTATAACTCAAATTTATCAGGGTATACATGCTGGGGTCACCGCTGAATGCACGGCTAACCAGCTGCTACCTTGCAGTTGACCGACGCCAGAAAGCTGTTGTAAGTTCCGTTGAGTTTACGGATAACTTGCTTGAACCAGTTGTGTCGTCCAAAGCCAGTTCGATCCGATACATTATGTTGACTAAAGGTAACGGTAAAACCCAAAATCGCCTAAGCTAAAAATAGGGATAATGATTTGAAGTTCCGGATCCTAGTTGTTACTTCGACAGACGTCAAGGTCACTCCCAGTATTCCAGGTTTGCGTGCTCAAATAATTTGCTTTATTTTTGCCCTCGATTCGCTTATCCTGATCACATTTCGATTTAGTATTCGTTGGCCCAGCCATGTGACTTGCATTTGATTCATTGCAATTCGTACGTCTATCGATTCAATGGTAACGGGCCTCTGGGCAGGCAGTTTTGCTATGCATACGTTCCGGTACTGCTCTAGTCTGCTGCATTATCGGGATACAACAAATTGGCGTCGTTTGTTACCGACGTCTTTGCATGTTAGTGCTCTTGCACCGTTCTAAACTGACTCTGCGGTTACCCCAAATGCAGAATGCTGAGAAGACTGGAAAATTGATTTTTCAGATTATATTTCTGTGCTACAAGTTCTCAATCCATCCGTAACGTTGAAAACGGATGTAACTTTAAAGATTTTGCGCCTGCACCTCGGCTCAGAGGTTCAACGTATATATGATGTTCTAAACCTTGGGGAGAAATCCACGTTGACAGAGGACTTATCGGCCCTCGATAAAAACTGCGGTGTTCGAGTGAACACTTTTGCTTCTCAGTAAAATTTTCGTACCTGAAACTAGCATCTGGTAAATCAGTAGATGTATTCATTTAACGCCTTTTTTGTTCTCTTCGAAAGTGTGACTACGATAGTATTCCCAAGCAAAAAGTGGAAGCAACTATGCTAATACAACGATTGATTTCTGGCCTCGCGGATTCCCGGATCAGAAAGAGTCTCTTGTTGCTGAACGCAGAAAAGCTCACATGGGACGTGGCTCGCGCGAAGGTCAAATTCACAGAAAAAGTAAAATTTTCATCTCTAACACAGAAGCTATAGAAATTGACTTTTTGGAATCTATACGCTCTCTGACGCGATCCGTAGTTAGAAATAAGTGTTGCCGTGGTGGAAATGCTGAACATCGTGCAAATGATATGTCCTACAAAGAGTGCAAGCTGTCGGAATCGCGGTAAGACCGGTCATTTTGCTCGAGTTTGTCATTCCCGTGCCATTTCTTTAGTTGATTGTTCAAATGAATCTAGAGCTTCTCCGGTCACCAATGAACAATCCATATATGGCGTCACTGCATGCGAACATCCAATTTTGGCTAGG